CTTCCAAAGGAGGACACGACTAGAAATCAGTGGTTAAGTTGTATTTACAACACTGTTCCAGAACAGTTCAACCCAAATATTCAGATGTGTGCAGCACATTTTATGGAGGACTGTTTCCTGATCCTGGGAGAGTAGACTACAATGCCGGCTGTTCTGACTCACAGACTGTAAGTGCGTTTTCATATTTAAAGGATTTGCCACTGATGATTCAAACACGAGTTTTGAGCAGTGTAGAGTACCGCTTGTTGTTGATCACAAATGCAGACATGGTTTTATGTTTACGTGGTAAAAAGACAGTATAAGTCATTATAATCAGTAATTATGTCCCCACTGGATGCAACAAATGCCTCGTTTATAATGGGTTTTAATGTTTTTGAATCATCGCTCCGGCCGGACAGGGCATCATCACAGTATGGCAAGGGGCGTAACATTTCCGTCTCACGCTTGAGGTATTCGGCCAATCAATTTAGAAGAAAAATTGTAATTACTTGAATATTTAATATTTTACTTGTTTTATATTTTACAAATATCATGTACTAAATGACTAAAATGACTAATGTACTATGTATATATACAGTATACTATATATATATATATATTATTATTTTTTATTTAATTTTTTTTCAGCTACCAGCTCAGATCTTCAGCCGTAAGACTAAATCACCCTTTTAATTATTTTAAAATCATTAAACGAATATCAAAACTATTTGAAACAAGAACATGAATAGTTTGAGTGTGTTGGCACTCGGATAGTAGATACATTATATAGATGTTACTCTATACTATATATCTGATTCATTATGAAAATTTCAATTTATGACAATTTAGAATAATTTCATAGAGATCTGACACAACAAAAGGTAAAAAATAAAAAATAAAAAATTTAGCTTTGTTTTATTGGTTAAATTAATTTTATCTCATTAAAATTATCTTTTGATGTCTTATACAATTTATTTTTGCAATATCAAATATATTTCATATTTTAAATATATATTATTATTAATGCATAATTATATATTTAAATTTTTAAAATATAAAATACTTCTAAAATAGACATTTAAAATGATTGTCATATAACATAACATTAAAGTCCCACATTTTCATAATTAGTATTTTAATGTTATTATATCTAAATAGCCAGTAATTTAATATTTTAATAACATTAAAATAGGGGTTCTTTGTGACAGAATAACAACAATCAAGATGAACTGAAGTCAGATCCTGCAGCACTTAATGAGATCTTTTTCTGTACTTTTAATTCTTCATTCATGTTGAATTAAGCGTGATTTTACCACAGTTAAGAGGTTTTTAGGCACTCTGGGAATTTCAAACACTTATTATTATTACTTAATCGACGCGTTTCAGAAAGTCGGGGCATAGAGGAGAAACAATAACGTACAGTATGTGGAAAATAATGTGTTTTTTGAACCTTAAAACACAAACACATTTCATTACACCAAATACACAAAATAATGTTCTTTTTAGCAGCATCATATGACCCCTTTAATATACATATGTATGTAATTAAAAGAACACACTTCTTGCGGTGGGAGTTGGACCGGCGCGTGCACAGGACGGCCCCCACGACCACAGCGATGATAGTGAACACGCCAACAGACACAATCACCACGATCACCAGAACACGGTTCTCCTGGCTGCCGGTGATGCCTGGTTTATCTGACACACACACAGAGGAGACAGCGTTACTCCACCGCAGGTCCTCATGAGATCACATGGCTGTCTTTAAAGAGTGCGTCTTCCTTGTTTACCCATGTTTGATCCAATCCCGTGCTCCGGTAGGGTCGGGGGACCGGGTTTGACTTGCAGCCCTACAGACAACAGCGAAATTAATTTAACTGAATATATTTATTTTATATTATATATGCATTTTATTTAATATATTTATAGATTCTATATATTTAACTTACTAAAATAAATATATAATTTAATTTCATATATTTAGCAAAATTATGTATGTTGTATATAAATTGTATTAATATTTAAAATATTAAAAAATATTATAATACACACATATATATATATAATTATATAGACTTTTTATTTAATTATAAACATTTATAAATATATAAAACTAAATTAAGTGTGTGTGTCACACACACACACACACAAATACATTTAACTTGAAATTCAAATAAATTTAATTTAATTTAAATAAAAAAATACATTTAATTTGCATTTCAATTTCAAGTGCTATATGGCAGATTTAACAACTGTTTTAATGTCTGGTAATTGTTTTGACAATATTAAACTTCTAAATATCTACTTCTAAATACATTTATTAAATATCAAATAGCATGTATAGTATTATTTAATTATGTATGAATAATATGTATAATAAAATAATGGTAACACTTTACAATAAGGTTAAACAACATTAAACATTATAGTTTACAACTGTAGCTAACATGAACTAAGCATGAACAATACTTCTACAGAATTTATTAATCTTAGTTAATTTCAACATTTACTAATGCATTATTAAAATCAAAAGTTGTGCTTGTTAACATTAGTTAATGACTGTATTTTCATTAACTAACATTAACAAAGATGAATAAATATTGTAATGAATGTATTGCTCATGTGATTTAATACATTAACTAATGGAACCTTATTGTAAAGTGTTACCAATATACTAAATCAATATGTATAATAAACGGACATGATTAGTTAAAATTATTAATGCATTTAAAACTTAATGTTGTGTGACCGTTTAATTTCCTTCTGCATTAGAAAGATGCTTAATTACCTTGATCACTGGACATTTTGTCTGATGGTTCCGCTGGAAACAAAGACAAATGGAATGAATCGATGAGCACAAGGTGAGTTTTAACAGGCGAGTCTAAGCGAGGTTGAGCTTTTACCTTTGGGGGTGTGGAACTGCGCCGCGTCTGACATGGGTCCCATGCCTTTGGAGTTTCTCGCCTGGATCTTAAAGTAGTATGCGGTGTCCAGAGTCAGCCCCTGAATCTGATGGGTCAGTCTGTTTCCCACCACGGGCTCCACCACCCAATCATGGACCTCAGCGTTCTCATCAGTGCTGTAGTAGATGATGTACCCTGAGAGAGAGACGGAGAGAAAAGCATCCACTTTTCTGATTTCTGATTCGGATGCATGACTGATTATGTAAATCCTGTGATCGGCATCCGTAATGAAATTAGAGATCGACCGATATATCGATTTACCGATATTTTTCCCGATATTTAAGCATTTTACCGTAATCGGATATCGGTTTTGTAATATCGGATTCACCGATAAACGAACGACTGAAAAGAGGAAAAACCAAAGTGAAGTATGTTCTTACTTCACTCAGTCATTTATTTACTTTATAACAGTAAATAAATATCGGTTCTGCATATCGGTTATCGGGCACATAAACATGCAAATAATTGGTATCGGTAATAAAAAATCAATATCGGTCGATCATTAAATGAAATCAGGCTAAAATTTGTTTCACTGTCATGCAAATAATGTCACCAGGCAAAAATCTTCTTGATGCTTCTAAAAATAAGCCTGATTCTCTTCAAGCATGTTTTGTGGTGAAGATGTTTTTGGTGTACCTGTGATTTTGCCGTTGGCTTCAGTCGGAGGCTGCCAGTTGATGTTGATAATTCGTGGATTTCCCTCTTTACTGATCACCGTCACATCTTTTGGAGCAGAGCTGGGAACTACAAACCACACCAAACAACATTAAATCCCGAGAATACAACAGCATAGACTTACTAAAAGCTTTGTCATTGCAATTTCTCGCGAAATCATGTTAAAATGCAAATAAGATATGTTTTATTATTATTATTAATTTTATTTACCCATTTTTATGTTTTTTCTTCTTGTGTGTGTGCATATATTATTATTGCTTTTATAAAACGGTTATTCCATATACGTAGTAAGGTTTCACAGAATAAAACAGCAAATAAAGTGTAATGATATTAATAAAAACAGTATTCATCCACCAAACAATGTAGTTCCTCAGAAACAGTTGTGGTTGCAACAAAGTGGTTGCCGAGCAACACACAGAAGTAAACAAAGGTGTATGTTTGTAGAGTGATTTACAACAGCTTTGAACATGGCTCAGCCAATCAGAATCAAGGACCGGAACTATCTGTTTTATAAATATATTTATATAGCTTTTCAATTTCCAACTCTTATAGAAAATTGTAATCTTAAAGAAAAAATTTAAATGAATGGATGTAATCCCATGGATTTGTTGGCGAGAGTCAAGGATTTGTTGAATCTGATTTGTACGGTGGCCGAGAAGTGCAAAGCAAATCACAATTCTG